AGGCTTGGATGTGAATCCTGGTTCTGCTATTTGTAAGCTGTGTGACCTCAGGCAAAGCATCCAGCCTCTCTGATTATCTGTTTCCTCTTCTGTAAAATCGAGGCTCATTCAACTAGGTGTTATAAGGCTGAGCTCAGTGGCTCACACCTGTAATCCCAGCACTTCAGGAGGCTGCAGGAGGATCACCTGAGCCCAGAAGTTGGAGGCCAGCCTAGGCAACATGGAGAAACCCTGTCTCTACAAAAGCACAAAAATTAGCATCTGTAATTTTTGGTGTAGTGGCATGCACCTGTAGTCCCATCTATTTGGAGGCTGAGGTGGGAGGATCACCTGGGCCCAAGGAAGTCAAGGCTGTAGTGAGCCGTGGTGATCCTGCCATGGCACTCCAGCCTGGGCAACAGAGTTATACCCTGGCTCAGAAACAAAAAACAATGATATGAGGCAATAAGCACATGATCCATTACCTGGAACAAAGTAGGTGATGGAGACAGGTTAGCTCCTCTCTCTCTCTCTGCCCCCTTGGAGGAATCAGAGTAGGAAGAAGATGCTTTATGCTGATAGCAGCCCTTGACCTCTTCCCCCACCCAGGGAGGCACACTGTTTGAAGCTGACTTCTCCCTGCTGGATGGGATCAAGGCCAACGTCATTCTCTGTAGCCAGCAGTACCTGGCTGCCCCTCTGGTCATGCTGAAACTGCAGCCTGATGGGAAACTCTTGCCCATGGTCATCCAGGTGAGAGGACTCAAGATTTCTGCTCCCAGTCTCCAGCCTTCTTAGCTCAGCCCCTTATCGAAATTCACTGAGCACCATCTGCAAAGGCGCTGGGCTAGAGCACCAGGGAGACCCCAAAGGAGGAAATGCGCCAAGTCTCTGATTCAAAGGCCTTGCAGTGTAGCTGGAGAGACACTTGGGGCCAGTCTGCAGAAGCTCCGGGACTGAGGAAGTGGACAGAGATAGCCCAGGAGGGATGAGGGGAGGTGGGATGTCATGAGCCTTGAAGGAGGGCCAGGTCTCAGACAAGCAGGAGGGAGAGGAAGGACTGGTCCTCAGGGGCAAGACAGCCTGGGAAGAGGCTGAGGTAGAGGAGTCAGGAGATTCCTAGGGGACTGTTGCACTGGGGCCAGACTAAGCCAGGCTAAGGAATATGAGGTGGAAAGCTGGAGAAGGCTGTGACGAAACGTGCTATGGGCACGCGGTGTGGGCAGTGGTGTTTAGGGTGGGTTGGAGAGGGGAGATGCTAGAAACAGGGGCTGGGGCAATGTGCTCCAGCACTGATCCCAGGAGGAGGGGAGCTCGGATGTGGGTGGTGATCGTCGGGATGCAGAGGACAGGTGGATGCGAGTGCAGAGGGAGATCAAGGAGAGGGGAAAGGGGAGCCAGGCCAGGTGCCTGCAGAAATAGCACCAATAAAGAGAACAGGGTGCCCCGGTAGACTTTTGTCTGGCCAATGTTGAGGTAATGGGAAGACATTTAAATTGTCCAGCAGGCAGCTGAGAACAAGAGATTCAGTCATTTGTGTAGAGGTGGGGCTAGAAGATTAGATTTCGAAAAACAGTGTGGGATGAAGGAAGCAGGTGGTTTGAATCTTTTCCACACTGCGGGGACTGAAAGGGGAAGTGGAGGCTGGAGGAGGCACCAGAAGAGCAGTGTCTGCAGAATGCTGGAGGCAAAGCAGCTTGCAGGGTGCTAATGCACCGAGCGGGTAGGAAGGGGAGGGGAGGAAATGGGAGCTGTAGGGAGTGGGAGCAGTGAGATGGGGAAAGCGAAACACGTTTGGAGGAAGAACGGCAAGGTTAACATGCAAGGGGGCGGGGGTCGGATTGCTGAGTGCCCAGCACTCATGCCTTCTCTCCCCACACCTTGTCTCTGCTCCAGCTCCAACTACCCAGCGCAGGATCCCCGCCACCTCCACTTTTCTTGCCCACGGATCCTCCAATGGTCTGGCTTCTGGCCAAATGCTGGGTGCGCAGCTCTGACTTCCAGCTCCATGAGCTGCAGTCTCATCTTCTGAGGGGACACTTGATGGCTGAGGTCATTGCTGTGGCCACCATGAGGTGCCTGCCGTCCATACATCCTATCTTCAAGGTAACACCTTATCCCCTTCTCTCCTGCCTACCCCAGGGCACGTTCCCACCTCTGGAGGCTCCCTTTCTGTGAGGTCTCGGTATGGAGAGAAACAGTGAATGGACAATGTGAGAGCAACAGAGAACGAGCAGGGCTGGCCATGCATTTTCAAAGGGGATATCACCTCCCACCTGGGGAAAGTGGTGGAAAAAATCTTACTCTTTTTATATATAAAGCACAGTACATGCAAATGACCAAGGATTCCGTCCAACAAGAGGAACCCATGCAAATAACATTAAAAAGATCTTTTCCAGACAGTCATTGTTTTTTTTTTGTTTGTTTTTGTTTTTTTTTTGAGATGGAGTCTCCCTTTGTTGCACAGGCTGGGATGCAGTGGTGTGATCTCAGCTCATTGCAACCTCTGCCTCCTGGGTTTAAGCAATTCTCCCACTTCAGCCTCCCCAGTAGCTGGGATTACAGTCACGCACCACCACGCCTGGCTAGTTTTTTTGTATTTTTAATAGAGACAGGATTTCACCATGTTGGCCGGGCTGGTCTCGAATGCCTGACCTCAGATGATCCCCTTGCCTCGGTCTCCCAAAGTGCTGGGATTACAGGCGTGAGCCACCGCGCCCGATCCAAGCTTGTCTTCTTTAAAGAACTGAAAGAAGGCGAGCGTAATGGATGAAGGGGAGAGGGAGGAGACCAGGCTCTGGAGGGAGGCAGTGATTAGACCATCCATTCTCAGTAGGGGCAACAATGTCCTCCAAGGGGTGAAGATGGCTGGAAAATGTGTGTGAAAAATATTATTATTATTATTATTATTATTAATTTATTTATTTTGCTGCCCAGGCTGGAGTGCAGTGTCATGATCTTGGCTCATTACAACCTCTGCCTCCTGGGTTCAAGTGATTCTTCTGCCTCAGCCTCCCAAGTAGCTGGGATTGCAGGCGCCTGCCACCATGCCTGGCTAATTTTTTTTTTTTTTTTTTTTTTTTTTTTTTTT